AGAGTTCTATGTCGCGAGCGCAGAGGTGTAAAACCGAGAAAAAAAAATGTCAAAAAAATTTATTCAGTCGATGTTGCTTTCGTTCGTCACCGTAGTTGGTCGTTTCGTTGTTTCGCTCTCCTCCGCCCAGGGTTTAGGGAAGAATCGAGGCATAGTTTCTTACTGGCACCACGCATCGTTGTTCATTCTCCTCGATGACGGAGTTCCCGGGTAATTCTAACAGGAAACGCGTCTTCCAAAATTGTTCGCGATCGGACTCGGTCTTGCCCCTGTTTCGACCTTTTAATTTTTTACGTCCGTTTCCTTTTTAACACGTGTAATCAGTGACACCACACCGAGCAGGTGTGTCGATTTTAACAGTAGAACCACCGGACCGGTCGAAACGACTCATTTTGACTTCATTCTTTTAAAATCGTGAAACTTTTTAACAAATTAATTTATTTCAACCTGTATTACATTACGAATTTCCCGAAATTAATATTAATTTGCTTGGTAGTTCTAACGTCGACCAGCAGAGAAAGAAAGCCGTTCCGAAAAGACACGCACGACCGCCACTGCGTCAGACGAAACCATACGCACACCTTGCCACCGCTGTCGATTGGACAGTATTCGCCTTCGCATCTTTTCAGGCCCGTACACACCGTGAAACATGCTTCAACCCCTGCATCAATGTTGACAATACCTTTCACACGCATAATTCGAGCACTCGCGATGTCTTGTTTCAAAGACAGTTCTCGCATAAAGCAATACTACCGGAAAAGAGCATGTACATTCAACAAAGTTATCTTTATTCTTAATAAAAGCGTATCGCTCTCGATAATATCTCGAAGACACTCTCACCGTTTAAGCTGCTTCTAAATCGTAACGTAGTAAGAACCTGTCGCGCAACCCGATACTCGAGCGACGCCTCGCAACATGTCTCACGTTGTGTACGCGGCTTCACCCCGAGATTCCCCGCTCGAGGCGAGCTCGGAGAGAAGAATGAATAAAGATTCGCGGTGAAAGGAAGAAAACGCGCGAGACAAACGAGTCGCGGATAGCAGAAGGAGAGTGCGCGGGAGAGAAAGGGACAGAGAAAGATACCAGCGAACGAACGCCGCGAGGACAAGGTTCCCCTGAGCGTGCGGCGAGTGAAACGCGGCGGCGCGCAACGTGCTTCCTCCGCTCGTCGTCGACGATTCCCGAAGTTCGGCCGGCGCACGACGGCCCCGTTACCGCGGTCGCGTCACCCGTGGCGTCGTCCTCGTCGTGAACGAGAGAAACTTTTAGAGAGAGCCGCGCGTTTCGTTTGTAAGAAAGCAAAAAAAATGGAAAAAATAAGAGAGAATCGGAAAAAGGGATGCTCGCCCGCTGTTCTCGAGCTCGACGCGGACGCGCACGTCGGAACGACGTGTCTCCGAACGACAGAGCGCACGAATAGTAAATAAATTGTATGCGAGACGGATACGTTAAGAAAGAGTGCGAGGGAGTGTGAAAGAGAGAGCGAGAGAGAGAAAGAGAAGAACACGAGGAAACTAGAAGCGAAACAGCCCGTCGACGCGCGTTCTTGAAACATAGAAGAAAAGAGAGAGAGAGAGACAAGAGGAAAACGTACGTTCCTCT